GAATGAGAAAGTTTTCCACCACTCTGTGAACTCTGTTCCAAAACCGTAAGCTTGTGGACCACTTGTGGTCCACATATGTGTGGTCCACTTGTGTGATCCAACTTGTCATATGAGAGAATTACTAATTGTAATCTGTGATAGAATGGGGAAGTTTTCCACCAGTCTGTGAACTCTGTCTGGACATCGTAAGCAAATCCGAACATCCCCCGCTTCGGCCAATGTGCGAACTAGCCGGAGATTCGTTGAATCGGGGTACGTTGAATCGAGGTTGTACTGTATTATGTTCATAAAACAAACAAATAGTTTTGCTGTTATTACACTATATACACAGGTTATATATAAGTATATGCATGTTTTGCTCACCATAACAAACCACTAAGTTGATATTGTGAGTCAAAATGCAACAAGGAGTGACCGCCACACACCAGCCAGCCACTCGCTGCCACTCCCTCCCTCAACAACACCTCACTTGCCCTCATTCTCCTCCCACAATACTGTTCTTGCATTTATTCACTATACACAGATGTTATATATAAGTATTTACATGTTTTGTTCACCATAACTGTACATCTAAGCTTGTATGGTGAGTAAAGGCAATAAGACGTAGCTACTCACACAGTCAGCTGGTGGCGGCCACCCTTAAGGCCAGACACACTAATATTTCTCCTCCAACAATATTGTTTGTGGTGTTATTACACTGTATACACACATTATATATAAATATCTACCTGTTTTATTCACCATACCTGTACAAATAAGCTGGTATGGTGCCCAAAGATCATAGTGGCCACCAGTAAACAACACGACAAGTCATGCAAACGACGCACCTCCCTCACCAAAATGGCGGCTCCCAACCTACTCTTATTGCTGTTAGTACACTCTATACACACGTTATATATAAGTACAGTATCTACATTTGTGTTCACCATAGCAAACCACTAAGCTGGTATGGTGAGTGCAGTCAATAAAAGGTGGCCACACACAGTCAGAAGACGGTGTCACCACCCTCCCTCCCACAGCATTACTCCTCCCTCCATGGAGCACAGCGCTAAATATCACCACACTCCTGCTATTATCAGAATCCTGATCAGTTTTATCACAGTCAGAGGTCTTCTGTAATATTATCATTGCTAAATAATAGCATGAACATATATATTTTGACATTTTTAGACGATGCTGTGAGCTCATGCTGCGTGCGTCAGCCTTGGTGGCTCGCTCAATACTGATGCTCTCACACCTAGGGATGTTGGCCACGATTTTTTTTCTAGGTGGCATCTGTCAACTGTCGGTCGTGGCTGCACTATAGCTGCCCCTATCCCACACTGGGCGTTTAAATTAAAGCACTAGACACTAAAACAGCTATTAATGTATTGCGCGGTTTCAGTTTTGTTACTGAAATCATCTATAGATGTATTGCGCGGTTTAAGAATTAATGTTCCAGATTTTTTCTGCCTTGTCCATGAAGATCAAGTGCTGCTTTCTGTCTATTTATTACAAATTTTTCAGTGTAGCCACATTTTTTAAAGTTATAAGATATTGATGCTATTTATATGTTGCAGGTATTGCAGAAAGCAAAATCCAAGGGCAGAGAGAGTAGCAATCATGAGAGTGCACTTTGTGATATGGTTGTAGTGAATAGCAAGAAAGTGCAAATATTTGACTGAATGTGTATGTTTAACTGTAAGTTCCATTTATATACTGTATTTCAAATGTTTTATCAGCAGTCCAGAAAAAGCAGTCTGTTGTCTTTACTGTATTAAATTTAAAATTTGATGGTTTTCCTTTGTTGGAGACAGGAAGCCTGTTTGATTTATTGAGGTCTATCTTGGAACGAGGCTAATTGCTCGCCATCCCCTAAGATGCAACCCACAACAGTTGTCTAACTCTTGGGTACCTATTTACTACAGGTACTAGGTGAACAGATATATTAGGTGAAAGTAAACATGTCCATATGTCACCAAACCATGTCTTGGGGCTAGTCTTTTTAGTACAGTAATGCCCTGCTCAAAGAGACCTGCACCCAGTGACTGTCCAGATGCACATATAGAACTTGGTACCTGTTCTGCGACTGGTTGCATTGGGTGCTGTTCTTTGTTAGACTCATCGGACTGACTCTACTGGATCACTTTGAATTTGCATCCAAACATTTAAGAATAAGTTAATCAAAATGCTCAGCTATGTAACACCCATTTTTTATGCTGTTAACACACAATCCGTGAGTGTAACTAAATAAAATTATTAATGTTTGTCTTTGTGTTTGAAAAAAAGAAAGAAAATCAATGTTGAGTGCATACATGTTTATATATAAATGGACCGACAAAAGTTTTAAATTAAAAAATTCTTCTCTAGCAACTTGTAAGATAGCTCAGACAAAACAATAGTATTAAGAGGCTTTAAGACTTAATTCGGCAGTCAGAAATTGCTGAACTCTGATTTGTTACAAGACAAAATTTCTGCACTGTATTTTTTTGTATATCTCGTGCATTGACATTTAAGTTCTGTATATGACATAGAAGATTTTTTTTTTTTTAGTAAAAAACATAAGACATCAAACAGGAGATAAACCATAGCAGTTATCATTCTTAAGAAAAAATAAAATGAGTAAACCATAAGAAAAATCATTAAAGTAACTAAACCTTATCAATGTCCACTGTGTATTTTTTTTTTATACAAGATAATATATAGTCATACAAGGACTACATATTAAAAAAAAATACTGAACTGTTATTATACATAATACAGAATTACAGAATAATAGTGTGTAAAATGTCTAAAACCCTTTTGCAAAGTACTGATCTAGTAAATCATATTAAAGTTCATTCTGGAGAGAAACTGTATCACTGTTCAGTATGCCTTAAAGAATGTTCAAATAAATCAGATCTAATGAAACATGAAAGAGTTCATACAGGAGAGAAACCATATCATTGTTCTGAGTGTCTAAAAGACTTTAAACAAAATTCACATCTAGCATATCATATGAAAGTCCACAGAGGCGAGAAACCATATCAGTGTTTAGTGTGTTTTAAGGTTTTTTTGAATAAATTCCATCTAATAGAACATGAGAGAGCTCATACAGGTGAGAGGCCATATCAGTGTTCGGAATGTTTAAAAGCCTTCTCGCATAAATCCTCTCTTGTACAACATTTGAGAATCCATACAGGAGACAAACCATACAAGTGCTCAGAGTGTCTGAAAGACTTTAGAAATAAATCACATCTAGTACAACATACAAGAATTCACACAGGAGAGAAACCATATCAGTGTTCAGAGTGTCTAAAGCACTTTTCGAGTAAATCTCATCTAGTTCAGCATATGCGAGTTCATACAGGAGAAAAGTCATATCAGTGTTCAGTGTGTTCAAGAGACTTTTCAAACAAATCAAATCTAGTAGAACATATGAAAGTTCATATAGATAAGAAACAATATCAGTGTTCAGAATGCCTTAAAGACTTCAAAAATAAATCAAATCTAGCAAAGCATATTAGAATTCATTTGAGAAAAAAATTATGTTCTGAATATTTATGAACATTTTGTTTTTCTAACACTGGTGAGGACATATAAATTCTCGAAATTAACTTTAAATCTCCTGCACCGCGCACTACATAAAGGGTAGTTTCATAGATGATGCACACCACAAGAAAGGTTGTTTCATTGTTGGTGCACACCACAAGAAAGGTTGTTTCATCGATGGTGCACACCACAAAAAGGGTTGTTTCATCGATGGTGCACACCACAAAAAGGGTTGTTTCATCGATGGTGCACACCACAACCAGGATTTTTTTTATGCCTTATCATAAAGTTTAAAACTACCATGCACACACAGAGCTTACTTTTCCTTCCTCAGGCCTCCAGAAACCATCTACCATCTAAGAATAATCAAAGAATCCCTCACTCATCTTCTAGGCCTTCAGTAAACAGATGAGGACCATGTCTGGCTGCTCACCACCCAGTGTCGGGACGTGCAGGGCAGCCGCCATATTAGGAGCCAATGAACTTTTAACAACCGTATATGAATGATCACCATGTACAGTATATATTTATTGGCAAAATGTGTGCTATGTACATATTTGCATATATACTGTATATATATGCAAAGTACAAGACTATTTGTCACAGGTTTTTAGTTCTTTCAGCTCCTCAGATGGCAGGCAGGAATCATGGATGCAGTGTGCATTTCCTCTCCGTATCACCACATTAAGGTGATGGAAGAGGAAGCTGGCAGCTCTAGGGTCTCTTCTTGTTTCAATTAGCTTAGAACCCAGATTCTTCATAACACAAGTGGCACTTTTACCCCAGGCATGAAGCTTGTCTGAGGCAATGGGGACAAAATTGTAGTGGTGATCTAGATCTCTGTATTTACGAGATATATATTAGTACCTGTACAGTATGAATAAATACATGGTGTGCATATATTTATACATATATATCTGGTACATACTGTACATATATTTTTAAAATTCAAGATAATGAACACCATCTTTGACACATCAGTACAACTGGCTAGAACAAAAACTAAATAAATAAAGTGAAAAACAATGAAATTGACAAAGGTACTCCCGTGCACCACCTCACCTCATTTCATCCGAAAAAATACAAGTTCTCTGAGTCACTACAGCTAAGCTACAAAATGTAGAGACTGTTTACTTGAATTTTTGTGCTTAACAATGTCAAAAGAAAAAAAATCATTCCAGAATTTTTTTTTTTTCACACCATGAGGGTTGTCACATTTAACAGGTGCGCAGTGCAGGGTTTAAATTATTGTGAACTGGATCCCAATTCTGAGACTCCGCATGAATCAAACTCGGGGAACTTTAAATCTTATGCGGTAAGTTATTTGAGATCTCATTCGGGGTAAAATTTGATTGGTATACAGAACATCTGAAAGACTTCATTGTTGTTTACATTAATATGTGACTTACCAAGGTATATTATGATCTCTGGTAGGAATGTACTGTTGTTTATAATGAGTGAGAGACTAATGTCTTATCTGATCACCTGCACAGTTAGAAACATATTGAAGTCTTGGAATATCTTCAGTTAAACTTCGGTATATCTAAACCTTTGAGTTCTATAATATTATGAAAGATTTAAATGATACCATTTTATTCATGCTTCTACAAATTCTTAACTCAATGACTTTGATTAGTATATCTCGCCTCAAATACATGTGAGGGTCTCTGTAACTACATAAATTTGATCACCAGGTGATTAAATTAAAAACAGATTTCATAAGTACCGGATCATCTGTTACTTAAGAAATCATAAGTAACCGATGATCTATTTGAAGAGATTGTTTATCATAAGATTAGCTTCAGATAAGTTGCAACAAATGTAACAGGAAAGTTTCTGTTGAGCAGGAATATCTAATTTCCATGTACAGTACATTAAAATATCTAATGTCCATGTACTTTACTGTTGGTAAAAAAAAAAGATGTACAAATGTATGTTCTGTTATTTTCACAAATAAAAATTACAATTGTCATAAACAAACAAAAAATTGCTTAGATTGGTTGCAAGAGAAATTTGGATACCTTAGACGTATATTGAACTACATTATTTCAGCTGATTTTCACTGTATTTCAACAAACAGAAGGACCGAGTACTAATTAAGTGTTTTTGTAACTGTGATATCATCCTAGACATCCAGCATTGTATTTTGTATCTGTATAAGATGGATCCCCCAATGATTGTTAAGAGTTCTAATCAAAGAGAAACAAAGTGTTCATTTATTATACACACAGAAATTACACAAACGTGATATATTTCAATGAGAAATCAACTGGAGTTCTGTGATGACTCGAACCCACGACCGAGAAACTCCCAGCTGTACGTAAAACTTGGACTGGCTTCAGTAGAGGTCTCGAGACTTCCTGTGATTTCAGTAAAAATCCAGTTGTACAACTTTTACCAAAGTCAGGGTGGTCCAGTGGTTAGTGTCAGCAGCTGGGAGTCAATTGATTGTGGGTTTGAGTTACTCGAAGCAGCAGTCGATTTTCTCATAGACAGTATATCAATCACATTAGTACGATTTCTCTGTGTATTTGAAGTTGGATACATAGTTCATCCAGTGTATAGTGGATGAGCTATGTTGCCTACATCCGAGTGCTTGGTGTTATACATCATACTTGAACTGGCTTCAGTATAGGTCTCCAGACTTCCTATGATTTCAGTAGAAATCCAGTTGTACTGTATAACTTTTTCACAAGTCAGGGGGAGTTCAGTTAGGTTAGCTTCTTCTATCTTCTAGTTTTGGCAAATTTAACACCTCTAGCCTCTCCTCGTAACTTTTGTTTTTCAATTCCGGACACGATTTAGTAGCATGCTTTTGCACTTTTTCCAGTTTATTGATGTGCTTCTTGAGATATGGGCACCATACAACTGCTGCATATTCCAATTTTGGTCTCACAAAAGTGAGACTGTTTCTTTAATATTTCACCATCCATGTACTTAAAAGAAAGTTGGAAAGTGACACATACGCTCCTCTCACAATTTACCTGATTTACCCGAGTGCCTCTAACCCTACTGGCTTCGATGAGGACAGGAAGTCGGCAGCTTGTCGAAGGTCCCCCTCCATTTGCCTTGATCTTTTCTAGGTATATTTTAAAACTCAACACATTTTTGGCAGTTATGACTTCAGCGGATAGGCAGTCCCATGGGTTAATAACCCTGTGGATGAAAAAGCATCTCCTGTTCTCAGTCCTACATTGTGGCTTGTTGAGCTTGAAACCGTTGCTCTTTGTTTGTGTTACATCTGACCTTCTGAAGAAAATATCCGGATCAACATTCTATAACTTGTTCAGTATTTTAAAAGTTTCAATGAGATTCACCCTGTCATGTATGGTTTGCAGTGTTGATAGCCCTGTGGCCTTCAAGCGCTCCTGATACGAGAGATGACTTAGCTCTAGGATGACTTGTTGCCCATTGTTGCACCTTCTCCAGAGCAGCTGTCCTTCTGGAAATGAGGTCGCCATGCTTAGATACAGTAATCCAAATGGGGGTGCACCAGTGATTTATACAGTTGAATCCTTACTTTTTTTTTTCCGTATAGTCAAAAGTACGCCTAATTATCCAAGGAATTTGGTTAGCTTTCCTGACTGTGATTCCCTCTTGTTGTGTAACTTTTAACACTTTAACGCAACCGGACTGTAGTGGTAGTAGTAGTGGATTTTGACTCCAAGGTCCTTCATCAATTTGCTGTAATGTAATGCTATTAATTTCATAGTGGTGGCGTGGGTTGTTATGCCCCACATGCATGGTTTTGCATTTGTCAATATTAAAAAGCATTTGCTTGTTTTCTGACCATTTGTGGAGTTCATGTAGATCTCTTTGTAAGGCTTCAATATCATTATAATTTCCCACTTTACCATAAATCTTTGTATCGTCTGCAAATTTGATGTGATTTATAGTATTCTCATCTATGTTATTGATGTATAATACAAAAAGGGTAGGTCCCAAAATGGACCCTTGTGGCACCCCACTTATCACATTTCTCTATTCAGATTCGTTTCCATTTAGCATGACCCTTTGTTTTTCTTTCCTTTACCCATTGTTTTATCCATTCTAATATTTTATTATTTATTCCATGGACCTGTAATTTCCTTGCCAGTCTTTCATGAGGTAACTTATCGAAAGCCTTAGCAAAATCCATCCGCTGGAAGGCCTTTGTCTGAGTAGCTGGTTACCGTTTCCTAAAATATGAGCAAATTTGTAAGGCAGGATCTGTTTTTAACAAATCCATGATGTGTCGATTGTACAAGGTTTTTCACTAAAATATGGTGAATGATTCTCTCCCTGAGGATTCTCTCCATGAGCTTGCAGATGTGTGATGTTAAGCTGATTGGCCGGTAGTTTTCTGCTGAGCTTTCTGCCTTTTCCCCCCTCCCAGTTCAGCTCGTTGATGCCGTGAGGGGGGCTTAGTGGGCGGCTGCCAGAGTGTGATGCTCCTTGGGACAGTCCTCTGCCCTTTTGTAGCCTTGTGCTCCTGCTGCTATCCTCTCTAATTGTGCTGAACGACTTTTCCTTTTCCTTCTGTTTCGTTTTTCTCCCCCCTCTTCTCCTATCTGCTTGTCGTTTCCTGCCGACATTTTGCTTGTTTTGGTTATTCCTTTGGACTTCTTCTATTTTGACGCCCGGGTGCTTGAGGAGGCATACTCTTGCACCCGTAGAACTGTAGTACCCAACGTCGAGAGCGAGGGGAACCTTTTATTGCCAATCCCCCTTTCGTCACTGAACCCGATCTCAACGGACTGACGGTTCTTAAGGTGGCGTTTGTGGGGCGTATACTCACGACGCACCCCTAGGGGCCCCGGCTTGATCGGTGATAGCTTCTTGTTGGGTGTCCTACCTCTAATTGTGGCTCCATGGTGGGTGTGGGGGCACATTCGTGAGTGAAAGTGTTTCTTTTCGTGTCTATGTTGCTGAATTTTCCTCTTGTACCATCTCAGGATCGTGGGATGGGCGACCAAGGCCCCGAGTCGGACTGTATTGGAAGACCAGGCTCTGTAGCCCCCGCTGCATTGGGCCCCGACCTTGCTCCTCCTTTGACCGTCCTGACTTCTTCCCCCAGCTCCCCTCCCTCCTCTGTGGTTGGGTCGAGCCTCCAGCCCCCGGTGGTGACCACTTCGTCCCCTGGTGTGGCTAAGTCTTTCGTTGTGACTACTGCGCCTTTTGACCCCTCTCTCTCTAGGGGTTCTCAACGCCGTTCGCGCCCCAACCGCACTCGCTGGATTCCTTCCCGTGCTGATGCGTATCAGGCCTTGTTTTGTCCTGCTTCATGGGCCAAATACTTTGATCTCCTCCCTCTTGATTCTGCGCCTCCTGACGATTTCTCCCTCCATCGGCATCTTGTAGATTCCGTGGATGCGTCTGTTACTTTCAACCCCACTCGTCTCGGTACACGTGTCGTTGCTGCTCCTTCTCAGGATGCGGCTTCCCGCTTGGCTGCCTTATCTTGCCTTGGCGAGATCCCTGTTATGGTCTCCAAGAACGTTCAGATGAATGCCAGTGTTGGCACTATTCTCCTCCCACCCCATGTTGCAACCGGTGTTCGGAATCTGCAGGATTGCCACGATGATATTCGGCATATCCTTGATGCCCAAGGCCATTCTGTCCTCCAGGTTGACTCGTTTACTCGTCCCCCTCGTGGTCGTCGCCGTCAACCCTTTTGCGTTGTGAAGATCACCTTTGATGGTAGGACCCTTCCATCCTCTGTCATTCTTGCTGGTGCTAGGTGCTCTGTCCAGGAGTATATTCCTTCTCCTCGACTTTGTAACAAGTGCTGGAGGTTTGGGCATGGTGCCCTCCGCTGCTCTGGGACTGTCTCTCTCTGTCCTTTGTGTGGGAGTGAAGGTCACTCTAAGTCGGAGTGCACTTCTCCCCAAGCTCGCTGCCTCAACTGCGGTGAGGCCCATCCTACCTTCTCCCGTGCCTGTGTCCATTACAAGCTTGAGGCGGCCGTCCTTAACCTGAAGCACCGGGAGCGTTTATCTTTTCCTGAGGCGAGGCGCCAGGTTCGCCGGCTCCCGCCTTATACTAACATCTCTTATGCTCGCGTGTTGCGCTCTTCCTCTCCTCGTCCTTCCCCCCTTCCTCAGACTCTCAACCGTTTCCGGGCCTTGGACCCTGATACGCCCACTGCCCCCTCCTCTGTTCCTTTGAGTTCTCTCCCGAGGGGTCCCCCTCCTGGTCCTCTGTCTGGGGTTCCCCTTCTTTCAACCCGGTCTGTCATGTCTCCTGTGTCTTCTTCCTCGTCCCCCTCCGATCCTCCTTCCCGTCCTCTTCCTCCATCTATCGGCTCTCCCCACCGCCTGTCGGTGCGGGCGGATGTCCATCGCTCTCCTAACGGCCGTCGTGTGTGCTCTCGTTCGGCTTCTCCTGTTGAGACACTGGAATCCGTTGCCTGGTACGTAGTTGCTGGGACACCGATCTCTTTAAGTCAGAAGCGGAAGCCTGGCTCCTCTCCTTCCTCTTCCCCGGCGGGTAAGAAGGCTTCGCTTTCTTCCTCAGCTCCTACTTCTGGCTCTGTTGCTCCTTCCCCTCCCGTTTCAGTGATTGCTCCCCCTGTTCCTGCTATGGAGGTTTCTTTGGCCCCTGCTTTCCTTTCGGTTGCTGCTCTTGCTGGGGTGCGCTCCCCTCTTTCTACTCCCCCTCTTCCTGCTGCTGTCCTTGACTGCTCCTCTCCGTTGTCTCCTCCTCTTCCTCCTCCTCCTCTGGACCCCGCCCGCCTACCTCTGATCTGTTCTCCCGTTTCCTTCCCTCCGTCTTTGCTCAGTTTACCCATGCCCCCTAACCCTGACTTTGCTGACCCTGATCCCGTCCCTGATATTCTTTAATGTGCTCTGTTGCTCTTTCGCCTTTGTTTCTTCCTTGTTCTCTGTTTTTGTCCTTTCTCTTCTCGTCGTTGTCCATTCTTCAATGGAACGTTCGAGGTTATTACGCCAATT